GTACCTAGCATAATGTGACTCCTTCATCACATTTAAACATTTATATTGCTTATCTTTCCAAGGAACCTCTGGCTAAGTTTTTCCAATTACACTGATCAAATCGAGAATGTGGGGTAATTCTTCTTTTCTTCAATTAGAACTATCTGTACTATACATAATTGATGAAATTCCATCATACCTCAGCGAAGTGAGCGAAAGATAATGAATATCTGCTACTTACAGTTACGCGGGGCAGACAGGTTCAGGTTTGATGACGAGAGGGACCCATCATTCTCCAAAGTAATGTTCTTCACAGCACGTTCGGAATATTGTCATTTGTAGGACTGTTATGCAAATGAAAAAATCTACAGCTATTTGTGACCCTGGACCACAAAACTTTTTTTATGCCAAAAATCATTAGGATATTAAGTAAAGATCATGTTCCATGAAGATATTTTATACATTTCCTACTGTAAATATATCAAAACCTAATTTTTGATTAGTAATATGCATTGCTAAGAACTTAATTTGGACAACTTTAAAGGCGATTTTCTCAATATTTAGATTTTTTTGCACCTTCAGATTCCAGATTTTCAAATAGTTGTATCTCGGTCAAATATTGTCCTATCCTAACAAACCATACATCAATGGAAAGCTTATTTATTCAGCTTTCAGATGATGTATAAATCTCAATTTTGAAAAATTGACCCTTATGACTGGTTTTGTGGTCCAGGGTCACATTTGTGATTGTGCTCCACTTTCTTGGTTCAAACCTAAACTGCACCCTAGAAGAAGCCCATATTGCGGCTTCCTTTTTGGAAATATCTGCAGACCGGAGATGTTTCATAACGCTGAAAGCGTGTGGGATAACCTAATCAGACCGCAGGAATCCGATCTCGCCCCTTCATCCTAAACACAGAGTCTTCTTTAAGGCGTACAGATGACCACCTCAGACCCGGCAGCATCGATTCCACTTAACCTCCTCGGAGATGATCATTTCCTCTTCGCCTTGAGCTTTTCAATGCAATTTTAGTCAATGAAATCAGATCAGAGGACAAACGCACTCCATCATCTGAATATAACATCCGGCAGCTGGCATGGTGCAAAGAAATTCCCAGACAAATTCCCGTTATCTTGAGAAACTTTATTGATGGTTATTGTTATGCAGATCATAGTGCATGCACATACAATGACAAGGAGAAAGCCTGTCCACAACACATACTTAAAGCAGAAAGAGCAGAATCACAGCAGTGGGTAAGATATTTTTGCCAAGTTGTGTGATGTGACGCACACAGTACACAAGAGGATATTTGCAGCCGGATAAACTGGAGCTGCTCTTTTGTTTGTATTTTATGCAATTGAAACTTTTATAAATACAAAATAAAGAAAAATGAGATATGTGACAAACACCTCTAATTAGGTATACTTGTAAACAACATGAAGGGAAGTCTTCGCGTATGCACAGCCAAGCTGCGACTCTTCAAGAACACCTTAACAGCTTGTTTGTGTAGCACTTGTAAATGACATAGTTATCATTATTCCTATTTACATATAGATATCTTTTTCACAAGTCATATATTTCTCAGTTTCTCGATAATCAAACAGTTTCAAAGTGTAAAGGCTGTGTTCTAGAAAATAATAGTACAAAGGATGTCACATTAAAAATGATATCAAAACGAAACACTCGAAAGAAGCAGAGAACCAAAAGAAAACAGACAACAGAACGTCCCACAAGTGAGAAGAAGAAGAAGAAGTAGTGATGAAAAAATTGCAGGTTGTGTGTGTGCAAAATTGTACAGTTGACAAAAATACTATGATCATATCGTGTAAAGGCTGTGTTCTAGAAAATAATAGTACAAAGGATGTCACATTAAAAATGATATCAAAACGAAACACTCGAAAGAAGCAGAGAACCAAAAGAAAACAGACAACAGAACGTCCCACAAGTGAGAAGAAGAAGAAGAAGTAGTGATGAAAAAATTGCAGGTTGTGTGTGTGCAAAATTGTACAGTTGACAAAAATACTATGATTATATCTACATAATGATTGCATTACTTGTAAAGTGTTGATATAAATCTGTGTATGATTCCATAAAAAATGAGACACCTTTCTCTAACAGTTGGTCTACCACACTAAATCTAAAACATTATACAGTTGTGTTTTTCGTATAAGAGAACATTTTCACTGCACAGATCAAATTGAATACACTGTTAGTTTATTTTTTCCCACTCTCGTCTTGTACAAATAATCAGTTTCTTAACTTCTGAGAGAAAAAAAACAAACCAAAACAAAACGAAGAAAAAAAGAAAAACAAAAAATATAACCGGCGCTACCGGCGCCGTCTGTTTTTTTCTTTTTTCTTTTTTGTGTTTCGTCTCTCCCATATTATAAAAGTCAGCATTTATATCAATCGACGTACTGGAAGTACTGCAATATAAAAAGAACATCTCGTGGTAGGCCTAAACTAGCGAGGGTCTGACTTAAGGACTAGATAATAGTTAAACAGTAAAATACTGTCATGGTGAATTTTTGGGGAGTTTCTACGAGCTGCTATGTATAGTCTGAATATACACATTGAACACCCCAGGAACATAACCTTTGGCTTTGAGTAATGACTGATATAAGACAGCTTAAATAATCGATACCTCAGTGGTCTCTTTGACCGGCTCTGTGTCTTCGCTGCACTTGGCGGACAGCCCCCGGTCTTTCGCCCACCACGCCCATATCTACTCCTACCCACAACCCCCTGCGCACTCTTCCTCTACGGCACAGAACCCAGAAACAAAAGAAACCAAAAGAAAGACGAAAGGCGATGTCAAACGGAAGCATAAACCACTGGACGACTCTAGTCACTTACACTCTTACAAAATATGATAACCCCGAAGTGACTTGAATATTTATCATACATAACTCATTTACATGATAAAGCCCTAACAATTTGTATCTTATTTTTTTTTTCATCTTTTTAAAATCTAGCAGCTCTCTAGATCACCACAGAAACCTCTACAGCCAACAATCTACGTAATCTTTAGAAATTAAAAACCCACAATATTAAAATACACAGCACAAAATATCTGAGGTATAAGATGAAAAATATCCGTTTTTGTCTTCTCTCTCTTAAGAGATGCTAAAATGATGCACTACTGCATGTATTGCAATACCCAGGCCTCTGAATTACTCCTCCGTTACCCCCACAGGAAGATTCTCAATAGGTTTTGAAAGGTTTTATTTTTTTTAGTATGGCGCGAAACGACTGTATCCACCTCGGTATATACTAGCCTGCAAAGAAGAAAGAACGAGACCCACATCGTCGGCGTGGCTTCTGGTCTTGGCATCAGTCAAGGGAGCGAAAGCATTCTGGAAGAGAAGCCACGGGTTTGGACACGTTTAATTGACACCGTTCAGAGGAGACCTCCGCTAGCATTCAGGCTATTTGCCGTACATACCCCCCAGACGAAACCAATCACGTTCCATCATGCAGCAAGCACACCAACACACCTCATGCCAGAAGAGATGCATTTAGCTACTTAAAAATGTAAACGGGATGCAAGAATTACATGAGTTAACAGAGCAAATAAAAATAGAGCAACGAATGCAGTTTCATATGCTGCAAAAAGCATTTTCTTAACGTATTTTTGTCTTATTTTCCAGTATCTTGAAGTAAAAAAAAATTTGGGTGCATTAAAAAACCCTCAATTGTCTGTTGTTAATAGCGTAGCTCACACAGAAGTCTCTTTTAAACAAAGCAGCTTTGTTAGTCTGCACGGCGAATGAAGAATCGCAGATTCTTACTGAAACAACTGTATTTCGCCAGCAAAATTACGCAGAGCAATGGCAAATGCGACCACACTCTAAAGGCTTGTGCACACCGGGACGATTATCGCCGACGTTTAACGCCTCATGACTAAACAAACGGCACCAATGTGAGTGTGCACACCGACGTGCAAAACGGCAGGCGTAAAAGCGTAATTTTTTAAAAAACGCCTCGTGCTCGTTTTTTTGGTTTGACGCGCTGCGTTAAAAACTGGTCGACCAATGAGATTGGTGCTTTTGTTCACGTGCCTGGAGCTGCTGAAGTTACAGTAAAACACGACTTGGTGGCGCTCAAGCACAAAACGGTCTTGCCGAGCACACATTGATACCTAACGACGTAGAGGAAGTAAGTAGACGAAGAAGATGCATCAGTGCAAGATGAATGTAGAGCTGCTGGTCTCATTGGTGTCTGAACACAAAGAGCTTTATGACAAACGCGACAGTGACTACAAAAATCTCGAGAGGGAGTTGTTATGGAGAGGAATTGCAGATCAAATAGGATTCGATGTGTACCGGGGTATCTAATGTCAGGGAGTGAATTTGCACGTTCACTCGGCTCATCGCCAGTGAAAATCGCTTGGGTATGAACACAAAGACACATCGAAAAACGCTGGCGATAAGTGCGCGCGATAATCGTCCCGGTGTGCACGAGGCTTTAAAAAGGTTTATTCTTAAAACAAGAAACGTAAAACTTTCAAACAATTAAATTTATAATAAAAAAGTAAAACAAAGTCTTATTAACTTACATAAAGGTTTTAGGCATTTTTACTGGAAAACTAGACAAAATGTACAGTTTAAGAAATTGATCTTTGCAGTGTGCGTTCTATATGCAATGTGGACGTTTTGCGATCAAAACAGTCCGAGTACAAACAAGTCGCACATCGCAGTTTGCGCCTGGAGACTCTTGTCGGTCTTCCTCGCACTCTTTCATCACATCGTCTCTCCTCTGCTCCCTCCCTCTTTTAGCTGTTGCTACAGCACCACTTAGGTGATGGATTTAATTATCAAAATGACTAATTATTTCATTAAGGGGAGCGCTCGGCTAGGTGATATTCACAAAATTAGAAATATAATAACTAACATGCACTACACTGCCAAGAAATTAATACATTTATCACGTTTACTGGGAGGATTAATGTGGCATTTCAGCTGCCGTTAGCACAAGAGACAAATTCAATTACGTTTAAGTGAGGAGATGTCAGCAGAGCTAAAATCCATGCAGGAGGAAAAGGTGGGAAGAAAAGGGAAAAGAATTGAGCGTTCATGACAAGCGTGCACTGAGAAAAGAGCAGGGAAAGAATAAATAAAGGGGTCATGAGGAAAGAGGAAAAAAGAAAGAGGAATCGAGACAGGTAGAGATGAAAATTCACGCTCACCATGGCACCAACGCTGTATGCGGCTGCTGGAGCAAGTGCGTGGTTGTAGGGGTCGGCAGCATAAACTCGTCCGTAACTGTGGAAACACGGAGAGATGGTCAGATCACGCTGCCAAGTTGAAAATCACTTCTTTTCTATGAAAACACAAATGTCATACAGTCATATAGGACACCACGGACTGAAGCAACTACGTATGGTGATGATTTCAGAGTGTTTGGAAAATGACAATCAAATGAAGTCAGAGAGGAGAAGATCACATGGCTCTTGCAGTCATGCTGCACAGGTCAAAGAGGAAGACATCACTGTTTGAAAGTTGAAGGGCCACTTCTGCAAGACCTCACTAGATGCTCTGTTCACTCTAATTGTGTGTTTATGGGATGCCAGCGCTTACGGCAATATCTGTTTGTACGTACAAACTTTGCAAATCGGTACCAAGAGGAATTTGCTTGCTTTTTCTAGTTCAATACACTTGCACAAACAACCCTTCAATTTTTTAGTAGTTTAATTTAGGCATATTGATCAAAAAGGCAAAAAAATACATCATAGGAAAAAAAAAATCAAACAGACCAGCGATCAATGTTTTACAGTACTTGCACCAAAAAAACCGACACAAAACATCTGTTCATTATTCTCGTCCGGGGCTGACTTGATGAAAATGCTGCAGGATGTTTAGTGTAAATGTGAGCTTATTTTATACTTTTTCAGTGTCTTTTATCCTGAGATCTCACCCTGTTCTCCCTCAAAGTTCGAGCAGGGCTTAAGATCACTGTGTTTGAAAACAACCTGGAATATCGGCTCCTCAAAGCCTTGTTATGCATGCATGGTGTTTCTGGACCAGATAAAGAGCCAATCAGAGAGCAGAGAAATGAGGCAATTTACATATTCTTCCACTCCTGGCGATTAAGAAGTTAATCCACTGCAAATTAGTATAAACATTCACTACACAGTCGCTCTGTCTTCATATTTCAATGCGCGGCAACAAAGTATTTTGTTTGACCTGTGTTATCTGTGTTTACAGGGGTTAGTTTTAATGAGTATGCAGTGCAGTGATCAAACCAGGGCTGCCTCTGCTCTTCTGGAGCTAAGATTGAAAAGGTGACCCTCAGGATATAGCACCTGGTGAATTATTCCTAAAGTATTAAGTAAGGGAAAAAAACGCTGATTGGATGAGTCACCTGAAATGCAAGAACTGGGGATTTTAATTGCTGTTTGAAGGACACTGAAAATGTGAAAACACACTACAAATTTAGGCTTAAACTCATCCTTGTGACTATTGGTTTGTTCCTTTCTATGATCCGTTATACTAGGCTCCTCCTGCCGCCCATCGAGACAGGTTGAAGTAAAAAAAAAAAAAACTTGATTTATGAGACTGGTAAGCTCTATGTTTGTTAATGAACACCAGTGTCTCTAACATACAGCTAAATTAGATCTGGGCCCTGAGATACAGGTTAATAAATCTCGGATGGCTGGGATATATCTGCATTATTGACTAGATGCTCATTATTTTGGAAAATGTGTGCTCCAGCAGCGCCATTCCTCTAAATGTATTGACTTTTCCCACCAGGAGACCGAACGGACAGCTAATTTCTATGATTTCTTTAAACAATGCCGGGCTGTGCTTTAGGGGCTTTGTATGCGGACCTTCTCCGCTTTTCTTACTTACTGATTATGTCGGTTTGCGAACAGGATGCGCACGGCCTTTGGGGTTATCAGCAATTATTGAACTGGGACAATTAGACCATAATTTGCAAGTTTTTCAGACTCCAAATTACACATTCCAATTGTGTTTTACAGAAAACAGCTGATGTCTTCAAGAAAGTGCCTTCTGCTAAATTACAGCCTTGTTAGCATATTCATTTTCTCTGGTCGTGTGGGGGAAAAAAAGGAAGGAAAAAAAAAGGGCTGTCACAAAATCAATGCACGGATGGACAGGTCCATTTTCCTTTCGGTATATCACAACTCAAACTAGTAACAATCACACTTGTGTCATTCCCGTGATCTAGCCACCTACAGCCAATGTGCAAGACACTATACACTACATGAGCAACCTTGATACGACAATGACAACAGCACCACACGCCTGTAAAACAATGACACAAACAAACCAACCAAAAAAAGGCCCTCTCGCGCACACACACACACACACACACACACACACATACACAGATCTAATGGAAAGGGAGGGTGATGGTGGAGAACTCAAAGGAACCATGGAACACAAGGAAGATTGAGAAAGGAAAATCACAGATTCCAAGCTAGTGACAAGCATGTTCATTTCACTCTTCAAGGAACACATGCCTCTTCCAAGCAGTGCCATGGGAGAGAGAAACAGAAGATGAGAACTATGAATGCGATGCCTTCCAGCTATCCTCATGCAGTACTCCAAAACTACTCCACTCGTCCAAAAAAGAGCATTCAAGAGAAACGTAGTAAGAAAAAACGCAACATCTACTAATCAAACGGGGGGCAGAAATAAGGAGACAGCCGGGCAATAGAAGCACTCACTGTCAGGGTGCATAAAAAAGGGGGTATATGCTCGCTCCCTCGTGGGTGCATCGAGAAAGTGAGGGTGATTTGGTATTCATTTATATTTATTTATTTTACCTGAGGAGGTGTTACAAGAAATTTCATCTGCTGCAACGAAGACGAAATGATTTCTGCAAGAGAAGATAAAATTTACAATACCGCTTGCTGACTGGCTGGATGGACGAGAGGTGGGGGTGGGGGGGGTTAGAGGAGGGGGTGTTAGGGAATGGAAAGGGGGGGTATAAATGGGTTTTAGCTCACAAGCAAAAAGAACCAGAGCTCTAAGTGCTCATATCGACATGGAGGAACAGGGAAGAGCATGCTAGGGGGATTGGAGATGCAAATGCGGGAATAAAGAAGAGGGGTAAAAAAGACATATACAGTATATCAGAGATGAGACTAAATCATAACCTTGGACTGGGGCCGATTCAATAGAAACTGCAGCTGTGTGCGAGACGCTTTGATTTAGCCACTCTAAACGTCCTCTCCTCTGTAAACCCCCTCCCTCCATCACTATTGTTCTGTAAAAGTCAAGGAATTGCATTCACAGCATTACTGAATAGCGCTGGGACGGCCTTGAACGGTCACATAAAAGCCGGCCGTCGAGCCCGTTAGAAACACCTGAGACTGCGACCATTATACACGGATGATATTGGAAATCAAACAGATAATATTATACATCAAAGCGCTTATGTGATACACCATAAACTTTTCTTTGGAGAGAGACGAGAAGAGAGAGAAAAGCAAAACCCCCACTGTATTATGGACAGATTTATTTGAGATATCTTTTAAAATGTCAAAATAACAAGGTTCACTCAGTCATTTTTTACCCTCATTAAAAAATGTCATGCATGTAAATAGCACATTTTGAAAAATTCATGGGGTCAGTAATTTTTTTTTCACACTTATTAGGCCAAAACACATTCAATTGTTCAAAGTGACCGTAAAGACATTTATCATGTTACAAAATGTTTCTATTTCAAATAAATGCTGTTCTTTTGAACTTTCTATTCATCAAAGGATCCTGAAGAAAGTATAATGGATTCAAAATTAAACAGCACAACTGTTTTTAACATAGATAATATAAATTGGACTAATAGCTGCTGAAAATTCAGCTTTTATATTACAAGAATAAAGAACATTTAAATATATTAAAATACAAAGTTTTTATTCAATTGTAAAAATATTTCACTATATTACTGTTTTAACTGCATGTTTGATCAAATAAATGCAGCTTTGCTGAGGATAAGATAAAAAAAAACTAAAAAACATCTTAAGCCTTGAATACACCACAGACAGGACTTTTCAAATCTGAACAGATTTTTAAAACACTAGGCATCATACACTTACCGACTTTTTTTAAATAGTGACAGGGGAAAACTGTCCATCATACACTAAACGACTGAGGATCATACACTACCAGACTTTGAAGTTGTTCCGATCACAACAAACTCATGCATAAACGTGTGCCTTGTTGCTAGGAGACGCGTGACAAATGAAAAGTCAAAGTTTATTTATAAAGCACTTTTTAAAAAACAGCAAGTGTTTATTAAAGTGCTGTACACACATAAAAGAATAACAAATATCAATGATACAAACAATCAACAACACAAAAGAAGACAATAAGACACCATAAAGACAATAAAAGAAAGCAGCTCTCATGTAGCGTCAAATGCCAGACTATAAAAACAAGTTTTTAGGCTAGATTTAAAAACAGCAAGTGTTTGAGCCTGTCTAATGTAGAGGGGCAAACTATTCCAGAGCTTCGGGGCCGCCACTGCAAATGCTCGGTCACCCCTGCTCTTCAACTTTACCCGTGGGACAACTAAAAGCAAATGGTCAGCAGACCTAAGTGCTCTTAGCGGAGCATACAGCTTGATCAAGTCGGACAGATATTTAGGTGCTAAACCATTAAGAGATTTAAAAACAAATACCAAAATCTTATACTGAATCCTAAAATGGACAGGTAACCTGTGGAGAGAGGCGAGAACGGGGGTGATATGTTCCTGCTTTCGTGTACCCGTCAGCAAGCAAACAATGGCTGCGCCCGAAAGCTCAAAAATGCTGCCTTCAGAGGCAGCATTACAAGGCGGGAAGGCATCAAGGCACGTCCGAATCCAAATTCTGCTTCACTTCCTGTCTCCGGAGGTACCTTCTTCTGATCGAATTTTGAAGGCAGCATAGATGTATCCTTCGCTGCCTTTGATATCCCACAATCCTGTGCGTTCCATTCCGTGACGGTTGAGCCAAAAAATAAAGATGGCGTCTGAAAGTTGCGTTTGGTGGTCAGTTTATGTGTAAATGTATATTTCAGACTAACTTTTTGCACTTTTAATGTTATTTCTGGCGAGAAATCAGTATTACAGTAATTCAATATTCGTTTAGTTATCACCAAAACTAATTCTATTTTGTTGTAGATCATTAAACCGTTACGCTGCCTCAGAAGCCTGTCCGAAATCAGTTTCATGAGGTGCCTTTGTGCAAAAACACTGCCTGCAAAGCCATTGCCTCAGCAAGTCAGCTGCCTAGGCTTTCGGACGCAACCATGTGTTCTAAAATCGGCTGAAAATATCAACATGTTT